CCAAGTAAATGTGCGGTGTTCTTAAATGTGTGAAAACCCTGCAGCGTTACTTCCTGCCTGTTTCTCCTCTGTGTTGCTGAAGCATTGCCGTCAGTCATATGGTTCGGTCTCTGTGTCTCTATGATGTTCCTGTGTGCAAATTCGTATTTGAAGTATAATTCCTTTACTGTATGTTTACACTGGCATTCAGAGCTTTGCATGCTTTCCTGACTATATAATTTTAAAAGTGACAGATTTCTCTCAAAATTTTAAGATTATGATCCTTAAACTGGAAAATGTTTTAATAGTTTCATTAGCTTCTGTTAGGTCTGATATTTGGGATTAAAACTTTTAGAAATCTCCAAGTGAGGAGAACATATACCATTTAACTTTGTTTCCAGAATATAGCAATTTCCATATCAAAAAAGGTCGACTTTTGTATATGTTTTATAAGCAGATCAATTACTCGGTATGTTAAAACCAGGAAAGGACCTATAAATAGCATCCAAGATACTGACAGTCAATTGCAAAACTCACCAGTAATGAACGTAAACATTTGCAGTTAAAATGTTGATCTTTGTCACTGGTAGTTTTCTTTTCATTCCTTGTAACAAGTGATACTTTAATGACTTCTAACTTCAAGAAGAAAATTACTTTATGCTTCTGCGTTAGTGCTAAATCCATTATTTTAGAATAATCACAATGACAATTTCTTGGAAGAGATGTGAGGATGTGTTCCCTGTACAAAGCCTTTTCTGCAGCTGAGAATAGGGAAGTCAGAACGTTCCCCTGAAGATGCACAAGTCAGTGGCGTGAATATCCTCCCTCCTCTTTTTTTTTTTTCTTTTTTAATTCCATGAGAAAGTAAGGAAATTCCAGTTTTATTTCCACTGAACAAAAGGAAGCTAAAAAAAAAAACCTCTGCAAGTGCTCTGTAAAGGTGACAGTTGAAATACATGGAATCATTTACTCAAATTACCTCTTTAAATTCTCAGAAAACCCCCAAACCCTAAATTAAATCTTCTCCTAGACACCAGTGCACTGCAGCAGGACAGCTCTGTTGTGCAAGAAAAGAGCTAGGACAATGACTGCTCAGGGCTGCTTTCGTATAAATGTCATGATGACGGTTGGCTCAATTGTTCTTGTCCTTTTGCAATGCATGCGATTTTGTGGCAGTAGGTTACATTTCCAGACGGGCAATGCTTCAGCAATTACATGGCATCAGTACATTCTCACACGACGAGCGTCACTATACTGCTCACACATGGATGAACAAAGGTAAGACTCAAAAACACTGGCTTCATTTTTATCCTAGCATGTGAGTTGAAGTGTCCTGTGTGTTTCTGTCAGTGAGGTGGGTAGCAAGTTAGAGGATTTGCAGTTGCTTTTAAATCAGAAGCCTTCTATTTGTATGCTGCTGCTCATAGCTGGAATTTAACAATCAGTCCAGTGTTATGGAGGAAGTTGGTTCCTGAGCATCCATCTGCATCTCACTAACCCAAACCGTGTGTAGGACAGGGCTAAATGAAAGCATTTTGAAGAAAGCAGGACTACTTTTAGGAGAGTAGTGGTATTTATATTGTGTGGCCTTAACCCATGGAATGCAGCTTTTTGAAATGCAGATAATAATACTTTTGCTCATAGTCATATGCGCTGCTCATAGTCTAACAGCCTGAATAGCAGCATCTCCCAAATGATAGTCACTCGTTAGCTCTCAGGGGACACTGGACCCCTCTGGTGGTGCCCTCGGCTCCTCTGTTGCTAGCTGCAGGAACAGCCTGGAGACCTATTTGGAAAAAAGAAGAGCCAAGAAATCTAGGCCTGCAAGAGGAAGAGGAGGAAAAAGGACAGGGTCGCCTCAGAGAGATGGCTGGGTGGAAGCAGAGGGAACCTGGGGGTTGGATATGTGCCTCTCGGAGAAAAGGGAATACTGGACTCCCTCAAAGCAGGAGGCAATTTAGAGGCAGGAGCGCATTTATGAGAAAGTGTCACATAGCAGGATGTTCTGCAGAGAAGGAGAAGAGAGAAAGAACTGAGGAGCAGAAAAGTATCATCTGCTTTCACATACGAACATCCTGTCCCTTTACTAAAGCAGGGAGTCCAAATAAACTTTGTTTGACCTAGGTTACAGGGAGTACCTGGAAGTGGCCCTGGTTCAGATTCATGCAGAAAGATGTGGTAGCTGACGTTCTTGCTACACCCATCGTACACTGTGAGAAAAGGAAAATATAAGAGAAAACCCAGAATATGGCGATTGGGTTAAGGATTACTACAGATTGGCAGTAGTAATACAGAACAGCTTTTAGAAGATGGGACATCATTTTAAAAGATAGCAATCATGCTAGGAAAGGATATGGCAAGTTTTTAAATTTCCCGAATAAATGCTTTTATGTTTCTCTAGGATAAAATGGAGTGGTTTCTAAATAGAGAATTTGGGGTATAATCTCTTTGAGAAAGGAGTCCCATTAAAACTAAATTTTATCCCAAAATCTAGGAAGAGGAGAGATTTCTACCTTGCTTTAGAGCTAGCCAATAAAGTCACATAGTGATTGCAGCTTTTCATAGGTTTTGGTTTGCTGTTCAGATATGTTTAATGACATCAAATTTTGACATGTGTCTTGCTGGTCTTTAGAATTTCATTTTGAGCAGTGTATTTAATAGAAAATGGCACAGTATGTTCCCAAAAGTGTCCCAAAGATTGTATCTGTTAGTGTCAGTTCTGCAAAGATGTATTAGTTAACTGTACTGCACAGGAGTGAGGAACACTTCTTGTTAATTTAGGGAGGGAGAAAGCTTGATGACACATGCAAATGACACATCATATATTTTAAGTTCCGTGTATGTCGCCTACACTAACTGCATTTGTCCTTTCAACATCTTTCTCAGTTTGAGCACCACCATATCTGAATTTTATGTGACTGTGATATTAATACACCTGTTAAAGAGAAAATTAATTACATAATAACATCTTTTAAAAATTAGGTACCCTTTGGGGAAAATAAAAGTGTATGTGTATGTGGAGCCCTCATGATCTCTGCCTTGAAATTGCTGTCTTCCCCTTCTTTACCTGGCAGCTGTCACTGTGCTTAGGAAGGAGCTGGGCCAACCAGTCCACTGCAGAAGTATAAAGTGCTTGGGGTTATGGGAGACACTAATTCTCAAAGTATTAGAAGCTGTGTTTGCACATTAATAAACAATCCCAGTTTTGTGCAGATATATTTAGCAGTACTGAGCCAGAACTGGAGAGCTACAACAGTGCCTGCATGAAGAAGGTGAAACGGTGTGAGGAAAAGGCAGTGCTTGGAAGTCAGGTAGATGTAAGTTCCTCTTCCATGAAAGTGGGACTGAAGTGCCAGGGGCGTTGGCTGTGAAGCTCCCGTTTGACAAGTTACGGATGCCCTCAAAGAACAGAAGCTGGGCCAAGTGTGAAAGAGCAGCAGGAGAATCTGCCCCCATCCCTATGTGCCAACTTTTAAGGTAGCATATGTAGTAATGCTTGCTGTGGTTCCAGTAGTGCTTTGCCGTGGTTCTCTCCAGTCTTTCCCAGGCAGGTGCTGTGAAGAGGATAATTTCAGCCATGTACACTGGGTCACAGGGGTAGGGGAATACAGTGCTGCAATACGCTGTCTGAGGAAGAGATTCACCAGCAAAACTGCTGCTTCTGGTGGAGAGCAGGAACCGTATATACAATATGAAGCTTAGCCCAGTTTTAAGTTGGAGTACGTGAGAAAGTCCTTTTATAATTTTATTCGTGGCCGAAAGTATTCCTCTTTTAGACATTTCTAGTGGCTCTGAAGAGACAGCTCTCCCTTCTGAGCTATAAGAAGAATAATTTCATACCAGACACAGATCTACTTCATAATGATAGGTTCAGAAGTGAGCCTTTTATCTCAGATCCAATAGCTTCAACTATTTCTCCACCTCCAGAACCTCCTGGTCCTCTAGTTGTTATTGTTTCAGAAGAGCATGTGAGACTTCCAATGATCTAGCCCTATCTTTGACTCCAGGTTGGTAGACAGCAGCATTGGCACAAATTGTTTTGCAAAGACTGTGCTAGCAGCCAGCGTTACTCTCTTCTTCCCTCTGGCTCCTTTACTCTTCAGTAACTTTTTAGCCTCAGTGTGCTTTATAGCCTCCAGTTTGTTGC